TCATCAACCTAGAGATAGGATTTAGAAAGCAATCTTTTCTAGTTTCATTTCTAAAGGAAGGTTTAGAATGTTGCTTTTGGAATCCCATGACAATTATTTTATACGACATTAAAATGGGCTTAAAATCTTCGCCCAAATGCAAGTAGTGGACATTGGCAGCTAAATCATGGTTTGAGGGGAAAGAGAATGTTAGGCTTATTTTCAGAACTGTTTTGAAATGTCAAAAGGTTTGGTTTTGTTGGGATTCAGGACCCAGGGTTTAGGAGGGTTTCACACAAACAGCATGAAGCGTAACCAGTAGACTTTCCTGAGAGCCACCCACGTACAAGCATTGTGTGTTCAAAGGTCGGTACTATTAGAAACTTGCAGTAGATGCTTGCTTAGACTAATCCTTCCATCCTCGTACTCATGAAACAATATCAGCACAACCATTGTGGACAGAAATGTACCCTCAGCTCCTCCACTAGTCCCGGACTGGGAAGTCATCTCTGCTCCTTCTCACTCACCTCCCAAGTCCAATTAACTACCAGGCCCAGGAGATTTCATCTCCTTGTTATCTTAAGAAGTGTTCTGTATTATCTTACACACCTGTGTCCTCCTCTTCATTCCCGCGGCTGCTGCCTCAGTTCAATCCTTCCCCCTTCGGTCGCAGGTGAGCTCAGTCATCTCTCTAGAGGTCTGTGTCAGGTGGGCCCTTACAATCCACTCTCCACACGGGAGCCTGAGTGATAGTTCTAAAATGCCAATCTGATTACTGTATTTTTATGCAAATAACGTGCACCTTCTACGTTTGTTTGCCAAGCTCGCCCTCTCCCCTCCCACGGTATTTTCAGAAGCACCGCTATGCCAATTTTTTTTTTTTTACATGTTGCTGTAAAAGAAAACTAGCATACTGCACTTCTGAAAATACCTCGAGGGGAGAGGGTGCAGTAGGTGAACAAATGTAGAAGGTGTGCGTTATTTGTGGAAAACACAGTATTCATTTCTGTGCTTTAAATCTTTCAGTGATGATCTGTCACAGTCTGACCTCCTCCATACAGACCCTTCTGTGATGTAAGACCTAAAATTAAGGCTCAATATTATTTGCTGCCTGGATATCTGGTAAAACTAGGAGGACCTCAAATAGCATAATTGGAAGTTTCCCTCCCCACTCTGTTCCCATGGATAAGGTCCTCTAGCCAAATAACCCTCCTTATCAAAGAGACCAGGCAGAGTTCCTGTTTATTTCTGAGTAGTGGGTTTCAGTTCCCTGCCAGGCCATGGAATTATTCAAACAAGCCAATCACATCCTCCCACAGGAACCAGGGGGCACCCCGCCCTCTTATTACTACAAATGCTGCCTCCCACAGTCCTTGCTTGTTCGCTCTGTTTCTGTGTGCAACCCCCAAGTGCCTCTGCATGGCATGCCATGGCCTCCTCCCCTGGGCTGTGAGTATATGTGATTAATAAACTGCTGTTGATCTCACCTATCCAGTGTGGTGGGTTTGGCCATCCCCATAACCCTAGGGTAGGGATCCGTCCCTCACCAGTGGGACAAATACCCACCTCCCCCACCGCCTCCCCCCACAAAAAAACCCAAACTCATTACCCTCGAGTAGATTCTGACTCACAGCAACCCTACAGGACAGCTAAAACTGTCCCATAGGGTTTCCAAGGAGTGATTGGTGAATTGGAACTGCCGACCTTTTGGTTAGCAGCCAAGCTCTTAACCACTACACCACCAGGGCTCCATGCGGTAAAAAGGAGGCAATTAAAACACCTTCCACCTTGAGTTAGTCTGCTTTTATCATTTCTCTGTCTAAAATATTCCCCCCGCCTTCTAGTTAACTCCAGCAAGTTTTAAGCTTGGGTCTAGCTTACTTCACTCTCTGTAAGTCTCCACAAGCTTCCCATTCTGATTTCAAAGGCCTGCCTCTGCTTCCAAATATCCTGTGAAGGTCCTGCTGTATTGCCGTAGTCAATCACATCTTCATTCACCTGGCTTAAGCGACCCCGGGGACAGGAAACTCATCCTACTTAGCTTTGCATCATCAGTGCCCAAATCTTTTTTGCACAAGTCAATTGGCACTGTTCTAAGGACTTTAAAAATATTAACTCATGCAATCCTCTAACAACACATGCTTGTTAGAAGAACAGACAAGCATTCAATCAGTAAATGTGTATTGAGTGTCTACTAGGTGCCAGCCACAATTTTTGACACTGGGGATCCAGTAGTGAAAAAGACACAAAAAGTTCTGATTCTAAGGAGTTTACAATCTGGTGAGGCGGAAGGATGATAAACAGATACACAGGTATCTAATGTAATATGAGGCAGTGATAGGAACTATAAAGAAAAATTAAAGCCGTACAAACGGATGAAATGGTTTGTACAGCGATGTCATTTTGGATGGGATGGGTCAGGTAAGGCAATCCGAGGAGGAGACATTTGAGCAGAGGCCCAAATAAAGTGACAGAGTGAACCACGTGTGTGTGTGTGTGTGTCTGTGTGTGTGTGCAAAGGCCCTGGGGCAAGAACATGCTTGCTTTGTGCAGTGCACAGCAAGGAGGTCCGTGTGCTGGGGTGCCAGGCATGGGGCACGGTGGTAGGTGATGAGACCCATGAGGTGGGGGGCTACGTCAGGTAGAGCCTTTGATGCCATCCTGAGGACTCTGGGGTTTATTCCAAGTGTGATGAGAATTCACTAGTAGGTATAGATTCACTAGTAGGTATGACACAATCTAACTTATCTTTTAAAGGGTCACTGTGGCTGCTGAATGGAGCATATGAACTCTGGGGAGTAAGAGCTGAGATCCTCTTACTCCCTGAGATGGTGACTTGGATTGGGAGGTAGCCTTGGTAGTGGGGAGAAGTGGTCAGTCCCTGCATGCATTTCCAAAGCAGAGCGGACAGAGTTTGCTGATGGATTGGCTATGAGTGCAAAAGAAAGAGGGGAGTCCTGATGGCTCCAAGGTCTCTGGCCCAATGGTGAGATGGCAATGCCTTTGCTGAGATGGGGGAGGAACCGTTCAGAGGAAGAGCTGTAAATGAAGCATTTTGTTTTCAACCTGTAAATCTGAGTTGCCGCCAGGGATCATTTTTGTCTTCCATGAATTTGGGATAATAATATTTATTTCACATATTTCTAATGAGAATCAAATGTGATTATTTTCTTTGGACATGATGAGATGGAAGGTCTTTTAGTCACACCGAAGCTAGGGGTAGAGCTCTCTTTAAAAGAATATGAACAAAACTCCCGGTTATTAGCTTGATATTGCTGGACTTGTACAATTATCTCTCACCTCAATAAGTGATGTTGGTAACAAACACATTCTCCATACTTATTCATTTAATACTCATACAGGCTTGTCCCTGGGTGGTGCAGTGCAAACAGTTAACCCACTCGGCTGCTACCCCCAAAATGTTGTCAGTTCAAGTCCACATGGAGGTGCCTCAGAAGAAAGGCCTGGTGATCTATATGTACTTCCGAAAAATCACCTTTGAAAACCCTATGGAGCACATTTCTACTCTGGCAGACATGAGGTTGCCATGGGTCAGAGGCCATGAGTCAGAGTCTACTTGAGGGCAACAGTTTGTTTGTTTTTTTCATATAGGGCTTACTATGTACCAGGCACTGTTCTGAGGACTTTATAAATATCAACTCATATACTCTTCACCAAACCCTACTTGTAGAAACTATGATCACCGTCATTTTACAGATGAAACTGCACTCAAGACCGCATAGGTTGTAAACGACAGAGCCAGGAGTCATGCACAGGTGTTCTGGCTCTGCCCGTTGTATCCCCACCCTATGCCAAGCTGCATATCTCTCGCTCTGTGTGCGCAGCACCATCTCTGACAAGCGGCCCCGCCTCTTGTGTACAGTAAACTTGACTCGCGTCTCCACCCCTGCCCCTGTTGGCGTCCTTGCCTGGGTCCTTACAAAACCTATGCTCAGAAGAAGCCTGTCAGCGTTGATAGCAACATCCCCTTTTGTCTCTTGACCCTCCCCAGGCCGCTGCCAGGCACCCCGAGCACCCAGTGTCCTCTGTGCCATTCTTCTAACGCTCTGAGGTCAGCCTCCTCCCCACACGGCTACACACAAGCTTTTATGGTGTCTGGCTCTCTCCACGCGTCCCGCCTCTCTGCCAGTAACAACAAGTTGTTTTAAACTCTTGGGGGATTACGTTTTCCACTCGTGTGTGTTGAAAGAAGCAGATCATGTGGCCACATTGGGCTGAGGGCTGAAGAGATGAACATGACAGAACTCCTGCCCTCTCTAGAAACCTTGCGCTAGAGAACAGGGACCGTGCCTTTCAGCTTTGGACCCCCTGTCCCCGGCACCAAGTGGGCACAAAGCGGGCACTCAATGAATAATCATTCACCCATTTGGCAAAGTTTACTGAGCGCCTACTACCTTCCAGGCAGGACATGGCGGGAAACTAGAAGGCGCAGGGTCCCAACGGCTCCCTGGCGAGGGCCCGGGAAGGGAGCTGGGATGGGTGGGGGGACAGGCCGGGACAGGCGGGGTGGAGGACGCAGGAAGCGGTAAGCGCAAAGAGTCATAGCAAGAGAATGAGACGCAGGCATGGCGTCTGGTCAGGGAGACACATCCTGGAGAAGGAAGACGTGAGACACACTTGCCGCAGCCGCTTCGGAGACCGCCAGCTCCACTGCAGCGGCCTCGGGCCCGCGGGGAGAGCCGAGTCTGACGAGCAGGTTGTCTGGGAGGAAGAAGCCGGACCGCGCGCGGAGAGGGCGGAGTCGGGCTGCGCTCCTGGGGCGCCGCGGGGGGAGGGCGCGCACCCGGAACG